AAGGGGGGCAAATAGCCAGTCCCAAACTTCAAGGGGAACATGAGCCTCATCTATGGCCAACACATGAAGGAAATGGAAGAGAATGGATGAACTCTATGGTAAGGGCAGTGTCTACCCAGAACACCACTCCACGTGGCTCTCCAATAGCTCACCATGCAGTGACCAAGCGTAGAGGCCAGAGTTTCTATACTCAGTGACTTAAAAGACACCTTCTCTGTCTGGGGCATGCTTTCTCTCTTAGGGGCCCATCTTGGAGGCCTTAAAAGGCAAACAGGCCAGAGCCCCTACTATTTTGGTTACTTTTCTTTTGTCTGTGATAAAATACTCTGAGAAAAGTAACTTAAAGAAGACAGGGCAAACCGGGCTCTGGGCTCACAGGTACAACCCAGGACAGCAGACACGGCAGGCACATTAGTCTGAAGCAGCTGGTCACACGGCGCCCACAGTCTGGAAGCAGAGCCCGATGAATACTTGAGTCCAGCTTGGCTGCTTCTTTGCATGTAGTCGGGACCCAATTCCTGGAAATGGTGCCTCTCTTTTAGAAGAGCCTGACTCTTTCAGGGTGGGGTTTCCCACTTCGCTAATCTAATCAAGGTAATAACCCCAGCTGGGTGGTGGTGGCACACACCTTTAACCCCAGAAGTTGGGAGGCAGAGGCAGGCAGACGACTTTCTGAGTTTGAGGCTAGCCTGGTCTACACAGAGAGTTCCAGGACAGCTAGAGCAACCCAGAGAAACCCTGTCTTTAAAAACAAACAACAGCCGGGCGGTGGTGGCGCATGCCTTTAATCCCAGCACTCGGGAGGCAGAGGCAGGTGGATCTCTGTGAGTTCGAGACCAGCCTGGTCTATAGAGCTAGTTCCAGGACAGGCTCCAAAGCCACAGAGAAACCCTGTCTCAAAAAACAAACAGACAAACAACAAACAAGTAAAAAGATAAAAATCCCCCACAAACTTGCCCCGGGGCTAAACTAATCTAAATATTCTCACACAGGTACCAGGAGGTGCGTCTTCTAGGTGAGATTAGAGCCAAGGAAGCTGTCAGTATTAATAACCCCCTTGCCTTCTCACGGATGCTACTTCTGTGGGTCCTGCTGCTGAGGGCTACCAGCATCAATGTTTGCTGAGTGTTGGGTGTGAAAACCATACCAGTCACATGGAGATTCCCCTAGACTACAGGCGCACAATCTGTGAGGTCCTCACACGGCCAGACCGGCTGGACAGCACGCCAGTTAGTTCGTCAGTCTTTGGGTTCACCTGAGAAGTCAGAGCAACCTGAAGCACAAAGAACAGAAGTCCTGCAGGCAGGCGTATCCCTTTGACTGACAGCGGGCAATCACTCTGGCTACCCCAATGGAAGGCTGGCGAGAAAGGCTTCCAAAACTCGGCCCACATTTCAGATTATCTAAAGAATTTGAGGCAGGGAATATTGAAGGCACTCAGCAGATTGCCAAGCCGAGTAAATTTCAGCCCTGCTTCCAACTCAGAGGCGCACACTTTCGATGAGGGTGGCAAAGGGGGCTTCAAAGGAACAGCAGCTGCGATTCCATTAACATTAACTGCCCATGTGCCCAGCGCACTCTCAAGCATCTGACAGTGGTTATTTCACTTAATTCCCCCGTCAGCCTAGAGGGTGGGAGGAGCGGGATAAGGAAATTAAGGCTCAGATAGGCCACCAAAACACAGTGACAGACACCGCAGTCAGGCAGGAGAGAGCTGCAATACAAATAAAATCACAGTTAATTTTCAAATCGACCACTATAATAAGCAATGGACATCCCAGAATAGGAGTGTCACACAAGTTCATTACAATATGTGGTACATGTACAGAGAGAGAGAGAGAATTCCTACGATTCTACTCCTCGCTGCTGTATTCTATTTGTGTTGCTGGTATGTGACCATCTATCTGCAGAAACGTCACCTCTCTTAGAGGACAAATTCTGAACAGTGATTGCATACCTCAGGTGAACCTCAAAGACTACAGGAAGCAACTTGAGAACGTTTTTGAAGCATTTATAGTCATAAAAGTCAAGCTCTTTAGGAAGGAAACCTGGTCCAGATTACGGTCAGCAAGAGGCAAAGACAGGGTTCAAACCAGCAACCCCCAGGTTAGCAATGTGAGAAAACCCAGCCTTGCCACAAACATTTCCAATTGTGTGTGTATCGTTCCCAAGGCTCTCACATTTGCATAAAGGGCAATACCAAGACAAACCACATCCCTGAAGGTAGGAACAGCTTGTATACATCTGCCCTGATGCAAGCTTTCTGTATTCTCTTGGCAAGAAGATGTCTTATAAAAATGTGTGCAAAAAAAAAAAAAAAGCAATACCCAGAAAGAAGCCAGAGCCCAATGTGGTTCTTTCAAAATTATCTAGACTAACCACGGATGGTGGCACATACTTGTAATATCAACATTAGGGAGACAGAAGCGAGAGGACCAAGAGTTCAAAGATATCCACAGCTACATATCAAATTTAAGGCTAGCCTAGGCTACATGAGAGCCTGCCTCAAAAAAGGAGGAATGGGGAGTCCAACAAAAATACCTAGAACTGTTTAAGCTGGATCTGATTGGCTGAGGAGGGGGCTCCGGGTGTACAGTGCTTGCTGTGTTAGCTGTCAAAGCATGATGGTCCGCGTTTGCTCCTCAGCAGCCACACACAAAGCACAATTCTAGTGCTGGGAGGCAGGGGCAGGGAGGGTCCCTGGGTTGCTAGCCAGTCTAGCAGAATCATTAATCCCCAGATTCAGTGAGCTCCTATCTCAACAACAAGACGGAAAACAACAGAGGAAGCCCCAACATCTACCGCTGGCCTCCACACAAGTCAACTTGGGCTGGGGAGATGGTTCAGCAATAAAGAGCTTGTAAAATCAAATCTTCAGCATCCACCTTAAAAATCCAGGTGTGACCCCATATGCAAGTGCCTGCAACCCCAGCTCTGGGGTAGGGGTGCGGAGACTCACTGGGAGACTAGGGAGACTCTCTGGGGCTTTTGCTGTCCACTCGTCCAGTCTGAGGCTTAGCGAAGACCCTGACTTAAAGGACTGAGATAGAGAGTGATAGAACATGACACCCCACATCCTACTCTAACATCATACATGCACACGCATGAGCACACACACATACCACACACCAAACACCTCCACCCACATACACTACACACCACACACGCACTACACATACTGCACACACTCCACAAACACCCCACACACATACACTACACCCCAGTTGTTGTACATACGCATACACCACATACTAAACAAACACTACACACCACACACCAAAACTCCCCCAAACATACACTACGCCCCACACCAAACACTCTCCACATACTCTAAACACACATATCCCACATACGACACACACACCCTGAGCGGGAGTCCACACACAATTCCTGAGGACAGGAATGACAACTTAAGTGCTCATACATACAAACTCAGCACTTACACATGCCTACGTATGTGAAGCCCAGTTCTCAATCTTATATGAAGACGAAAGACAGAAAGGCCCTTGGAGTGCCCTGGCTGTGCAGCCTAACCCCCCACGTCAACAACAGCACAGCTTGTCGACTTCAGCGGACTTTTCCTCCCGCGGCAGTCCTGAGAACCTTCAGCACATGGTATACTCCAGGATGGAATGTAGTTTTCTTACCATATTAAGAAAAGCTTGCTTTGACCAGTTAGTCTTGGTGATTTGACAGGGTCTGGATTAGTTACTTTATGCATTGCCAGGACGAAAGAAATGCTTCCTACAAGAAGGAGGGGCTTAGACTGGCTGGGAAAGTCATCTCAGCAGAGAGCTAAGGCGGCAAGTCACACAGCAACCGCAGTCAGGGAGCGGGGAAGGAATGCCTGTGCCAACAACTCCCTTTCTCCTCGAGCAGCCCAGAGACCCAGCCCAGGAACATGTATCAACGATTAAGATAAACCTTCTCATCTCGATTCATCCAATCTGGATGGTCTTCACAGGCCTGCCTAGAGGTGTGTCTCCTAAGTGGTTCCAGATCCTGTCAAGTGGGCAACCAATATTAGCCAAGGTCAGGGTCATCTAGCACAAGAAAGTTCTTCCTAGAGTGTAAGATGCCCAGGTCTCGCAACCCTCTGTCCTCTTCCTCTACAAAGCTGGCCCTGCAAGGAAGGAAGAGCGGGGTGCCCTTCTCTGAGAGAGAGCCTTCTCATTTTTCTACCCTCTCCAGGCATGGAAAGGTAACGATCAACTGTTTAAAAATAAAGACAATCAGAACTTACCTGAAAAGAGTTTGGGGTTCTGCAGCTTGTGTGTGTGTGTGTGTGTGTGTGTGTGTGTGAGAGAGAGAGAGAGAGAGAGAGAGAGAGAGAGAGAGAGAGAGAGAGAGAGATAGTCAAGGTTGACTTCAAACTTGCTATGTGGATGATGATGACTTTGAACTCCTAACCCTCTTATCTCCTGTCTCCAGGAATATAGGTGTGTCCCACCATGCCTGGTTTATAGTGCTAGGGATTAAACCTGGGGCTTCATGTATACTAGGCGAGCACTCTACCAACTGAGCTACATCACCAGGGATGAAAGATCTTTAGATATTTACAAGCCTCCTACCAAGACCCACTTGACCATTGGGAGTCACGCTCATCCCACTCGTACTGGTGACCAAGTCCTCAAGGCATGTCGGGGCCACTGCAGTGGATATGGCCATGTTCCCCCATGATGCATCTGTGCTGAACTTACTCAAAGAGCCCAGCAGATCCACCTGCTCCCTTCCCTTGCCAAATTGACATTAAGATAATCCACCCACATGCTCCCTTTCTCACTGTCTTCCTCTCTGGCCCCCCTAAAGGAAAGCACCAGTGAGCCATGGAGAAGGGAGGAGCCAGGAAGCAGGACATTATCCCATACTTGGTCCTACTGGATACAGCGGGTTAGCTGCATCTGCTTCTGTAAGCTATGGTCCCTTGCAAGCACTGGGAAGCTCAGCTACTTTGTCTCTTCTGGTTTCTAAGACTACTCCTTTCTTTTTTATACCTTCAGACCCACAGGGTAAGAACATGCCCTGGCACAGCCTCCATCCACTTCCCTCCAGAGTGAGCGCGCCATCCCGAGCTGCTTTCCGATATGCTTGCCCACAGCTGTGAACCAGTCTTTATCAAATTCTCCTCAGTTACTTCACTTTAGGGAGCCATCAATCTCCTGCCAGGACTGTGACTGACAAGCTAAAAACAGAATTGATTACCCTCGAGTTTTTCTCAGAGAAGCTACATGTCACAATAGGTACAGAGTAATTCCGATGCGATTTCTTTAAGTCATGGGCAGGCGGAAAAATAGGTCATCCATACTTCTGTAATAATTTACTACATGGCATACCTTGGAAGAGCAGAACCGTCTTCTTATAAAGTGAAGTAAGCTGTGGAGCATGGAACTCGATTACAGAATTGAAGAAGTATGCTGTTGCTAAAAATACTCCGCAGGATTCCTTTCTAAGGGCATCACCCATCGCTACTACGGTTCTGAGTCGCTCTAAATGCATATAAAGACCACGCTGAGAACACGCTGCAGAGTGCACAACAGCAAGGCGTGGGACTCTACGGCAGCCACTGACGGGACAGCTTACCTAAAGCCAAGGGGTCTGAGCTCATCTGTTCTAGGAAGAACACTGTTCAAGCATACTTCACAAGACCAGTGTTCAATAAAACTTCACAATACCTGTGCACCTCATCCTGAAGATCATGGGTGCTCTGCTGTAGGTCAGGGAACTGGCAGGAACTCGGAACAAGACTAAAATCTCTAAGTTTAGTAGTATGAGCTGTCTCATGGTGTGGGGGGGGGGGGCTGTAAGAGCTATGGGGAGTACTTACCATATGTTTATTTTCTGTTTGGCAGTGCAAAGAATGGCGCCTTGAGACACGCATGCCACGCTAGCACTCTAGCACTGAGTGGCACACTCTAGCCCTGCACTGACATTCTTCAGTCCCTCTCAACAACCCTCCTGCCTCAGCCTCCCCAGGGCTGGGATTATAGAGGTATGCACCACCACATCCAGCTTGCTTTTTAGACACTGAAAGCATGAATCAGTCATGGCTTTGTAAGGAACAAGGCTCTGAGACTTCACCTAAAGCCAAGTGATCAAGTGCAGGCTTATCGCAGGCTTCCTGGGAACCCTGGGTTCCCGCAGTGGGTGGTGTTAGCTTCCCAGGGTTGAGCCTGTTGGTACAAGCCTTGAAGTTACAGCATTTTACACCCAAGTATTTTGCAACCAGTATGAAGAAAAGGAGCATGTTCGCAGAATGTTTTTCTTAGGAAAGCAAGGTGAGATCTGTTTAGGACAGCTTTAGCCTCCTACAGCCTCCCTGTAGGGACACACCATGTGTGGACATTGATCACTGTCCCTTTAACTCACCTGTACGCCTCATGGAAATGGTTTCCTTTTTCTTCCCCAGGTGTGTGTGTGTGTGTGTGTGTGTGTGTGTGTGTGTGTGTGTGTGTGTGTGTGTATGTGTGAGCCTATGCTCTCATGGGGGTAAGAGAGGGATGCTGGATGTCCTCCTCTATCACTCGCTGGCTTTTCTTCCCTGAAACAGGAGCCATGCTGGTGGCCAGCAAGGCGTGGCCATTCTTCTGTTTCCTCCCTTGCCACACTGGGGTTATAGGCTTACTTGACCATGCATGGTTTTTTAAGATAGGTACTGGGAACCTGAACTTGGCTCCTTGTGGCTACGCCTCTTATCCACTGAGCCATCTCTCTAGCGCCCATTTCATTTTTGCTCATAAACAGTAGCAGGTGAGCCCCAAGTCTAGCACACAGCAGGTGTGTAATAGAGACTCTAATCAGTTAAATCACATACTGGAGAGCAGAACTGAAGGAAATAAAAACCTGGTAGAGATGTTTTGACTTTGACACACAAATGTATGACTAGTCAAACCATAGAGAAAGTCAAAGAAAAACAACACAAATGAAGGTAATAAGACACAATGAGTATTTACGGACAGTAAGCACTGGGCAGGACATGAAGCAATGAATGAGTACACAAAGCTATGCACTAGCTTATAAACAAGTCTGCCAATTTCATAAACAGTTACACATACACTCATTACATGGGCCACCTAACAGATCCCTACGGCCTTCCTCCAGGGAATAAAATCATAGTCTACAGAGAGACGCGGTCAAGAATGCTCCAAGAAGCTTGGCTTATAATATCTTAAAACTGGAAATAATCCAGGATCTACCAAGAGGTGCGAAGATACACGAATCATAATATGTGCATAAACAGAGCCCCCGGCAAGTGCAGAGCTCAACAGTAAGTCCACACAGCGACATCTGCCATTTGGGAGAAAAAATGCTGGGAGAAGGAGAGCTAAGGAGGGTTCAGTGGTGCAGGTACGTAGGCACACATGATGGCCTTATTATTCTCTTTTGTTTAAACAGTGTGCGCGTGCGTGCGTACGTGTACTGTGGAGCACACAGGACAGTTTTCAGGAGTAATTTCTCCTTCCACCAGGTCTGTGAGTCCCAGAATTGAACTTTCTCGGGCTTTGGTGGGAGGCTCCTTTACCCTCTGAGCCATCTCTCCAGCCCAAGTCAAAACATCTCCCCTGAGTGTAATTTAATTATGTGTATGCAAATTATGTCACAACAGAGTTGATTTTTTAAAAATGTACAACAAAATCCAATATGATTTTTTTTTAACTTTAGAGGCTAGAGAATTGGCTTGGTGGTTAAAAGCCTGGTGTGGTGGCACATACCTATAATCCCAGAATTAGAAGTTCAAGGCCAGCTTGAGCTACATGAAACATTTCTTTAAAAAAAAAAAAAAAAGCCAAGACTTATTAGGAAAAGGAACAATATCAGGTCTTGAAATAGAAAATATAAGAGAAGCTCGGGCCACAAGGACATAGTTAAAGACTAAAAGGGTGATGTTCAAAGGGCATAAGCTACAGCTTGAAAGGGTCTCATGGGCCAAATTTGGGATAATTTGAGCATCAAAATAATGGTTGCAATTGATTATAAAACACTGACTGAGGGAAGCCCCATGGGTCCACAGTCACAGTCACAGAGAAGGATCATCTCCCACTATTAGGAGCAATTATTGCGCTAACCCTTTCTGTAAAAACTGCTCATTACAGTGCCTTGTTAAGAACTTTCAGCTAGCAAGAGAATCACTGAGTTGCCATCTTGCATCTACTGACATGGTTCGGCAGTGGTCACCGACGGCTGCCTGCGTGGTCCCAAGTCAGGCCCCTGTGGTATGCACACTCAGGGTAAAGGGCAAGGCAAATCGTCCGGTGGGGACAGCAGAGAGGGATCTGGTGGGTTGGCTAGCACCTGGTGTTGTTGCCTGTCAACTGCTTAAACGAAATCAACAGGACCTGGGATTAATCAGACCCGATTTCCAGAGAACACAGGGCCAAGTTCAACAACACGATAAGGAAACAGCTACACTTGCATGCGGCATTCAACACACACACCAACAGAAAGTTATCGAAGACTCTGGAAGACACCTACAGAAACCTGAACACAATGGAGGTGAGATCATATGTGGAATTACTTTAAACTTCCCTGAGTGGACAGGAGAGCTGTTGTTATGTAGACCAACATATCTGTTCCTGAGATCCACGCTGAGCTTCTAAGGGTGAAGTCATTCTTCCAAATTTTTAGGTATCTAAATTTTTGTCATAATAAAAAGGGGACGATAGTTCAGCTGGCAAAGTTATTAACCACACAACAATGAGGACCTAAGTTCATCCCCAGAACCCAGTTGTAGAGACACAAGTACACACATGCAATCCCAGCCCTAGGGAGATACAGACATACATGTGGGGCTTGCTGCCCATCCAGACCAGCATAATGGCAAACCCCACGTCAGTGAGAGATCTGTTTCAAAACATGAGACAGACGGATGGCTCCTGAGGAAAGGAAACCTCTGGCTTTCAGATACTGTACACACACACGAAAATGTGAACACACAGAAATCCTAATGTTTAAGTCATCCAATTTGGGGTACCTTGCTGTGCTCGCCCTAATCAACTGGTCAATAACAAGAGAAATGGTTATCTGAAGGGCCCTGAATCTCTTGAAACCAATTCACTTCCTTATGTGCCAATTAGCCAGCCACACTGGACTGTGAGGTTCAGCTCCCACCATCGGGATAAGAGGCAGTCACCACCTACCTTGGGGGAAAAGACGGAAGCCATTTGCTAAACCAGTCTGGATTCTAGCACACCCCTTTTGCAGAAAGAAATCACCCTGCTAAATTACTTGAGCATTGTCTGTGTGTTTCTTTGTTCGGCACCAAGAGTATTCTTTCCTCAACAACAAGAGTTTCAGGTCAAAGCAGGAAACTGGCCCCTGACACAAATGGAGGGACAGTCTCGGCTCCCTTGTGACATCATCCACCCACTGATACAGACTACCAGGAGTCTCCAGGATAGGACTGGTGTGGTGTGCACTGTGGGTGGGAGCTGAGACAGCTACTCCAGCAGGATGCCAACACGTCTGCTACGTTAGCTGGGGAGTGCCCCAACTTCTGCAATTACAGACTCCCTCTCGTGTACCCACAGGACTCCTCTGAGAGCCAGACATGTCTGGGGACATCCCTAGCAGCCTGGGAGGAATCCTGGAAGAGACACTTAAAACACACCAATCTGTCTGCTGCTGAGTGATCACACAGCATCAGATTTCCACCACTGCAGCGCAACGTCTCAGACGCAAGTCGTTTCTTCTCGAAATAAAAGAAGCATTCTCACGCTTATCACTGGAGAGGGACCCACTGAATCTTTCTTTAATGCCATGAGAGCTCTACCTTTGGAGAATGGGAGAAAATAAAGATAAAACTGGTAAGGACAAAACAGAAGTGAGGCCCTGGCTTTTCTCACATCACTGGGACCACGCAGAGATCCTGAGAGATTCTGGGAAGGCAACTGATGGGGAGGGTCTTACAGATCCCCCCAGGTGGTTTTCCTACCTGGTATTTAAAGACACTAAGCTCATCTGGGAAGAGCTTGCCCCCAAGAATATGTGGTCATTTGTGCAGCCCAAGTGTCCCAGGGATACAAGATCACCTCCCATGAAGAAGGGCTGCTCCACGGCACGACAGGCAGTTCTGCAGCGAGGAGAACCTGCACACAGATCGCAAGCTCACTTCCAGGGCAGAACGGCACTGTTCCAACACCCCTCACGTACTAAGGCTCCTCTCAGTAGCCCATCCCTCTTGATAAGTCAGATTTTTCCAAGAATACCAAAGCACTTCATTAAGGGCTTATTTTTAGATCTTACATACCCCCCCCCCCCCAAGGCCTGGGCATTGAAGCTTGCTCTCAGAACAATGTTCTGGGGAAATTGGAGGATCTTTAACAGGTGGTGCCTAGTAAGAGGTCAGGTGACTAAGTCATGCCCTGGGGGTGGGGGTGGAGACTCCTTTCTTCCTTCTGTTTAGTCTTGCTCTGGACACACTCCTGCTGGGAGAGGCGCTACCTCACTCGCCACAGACCCCGAGCAATGGGTTCGGGCAATTGTGAGCAAACACTTCCAACTGTCAATCAAGATAACGCTTTTCCTTGGCTGTTTGTTACAGCGGCAGAAAGCTGACTAACACCCTCAACTCCAGACTCACACCGGCGCTGGGAAGTGGTCAGCCTTCATGAGAATATCTGACAAACTTCAAACCGCTCTTTGGTGACAGACTGCCCAGTGATCCACACATCTGTCCCCTGCTGTCCCCAACGCTAAGGTGACACACTAAACCCTTCCTTTGTCCTCTCCTGGGAACTGCAGGGTGGTCACCTGCTCCTCCAAGCCTACATGCTAGGTTGTCCACCTTTCCTCTACAGAGAGGCTACAATGGTATCCTCTGACCGAGGATCATGGACCACCTGAATCCTCTGAATCGCGTTCAGTGTTGCCCAATTTCCCCAGACGCCTGCCTGGAGTCAAACTTGGCGTCCACAGGAGAAAGTTCCCTTTCTGTGGAACTCATCACAGAAGCTTTTTGAGCTGCCACAGCAACACACGGCTGTGTAGCAGTACTCAGGGGTCTCATGATTTGGTCCTGAGGTAACTGATGAAGGAACAGGCCCCTTGCAGGCCTAGAGCCACATAGGTAATGCATTTGCTTTTAGCTTCATGAAGCATTCCCAAAAACATCTAGTACATGACCAGACAGTTCTCCACAACTGCCCAGCACCCCAACCTTGTGACATGTGCAGCTGAGCCCAAGCAGTCTGCAAACGTGCATAAATAAAAGTCAAATCAGCTCCATCCAGTCCGTTCCACGGTCCTCATTATTCCCCAAGCTTTCCCTGCAGTGTCTCAGCTTCCACACACCTGCTAGCTCTCGGTCATCCTCTTCAGTGTTCTGGTTGACCACAACCAAGCCACGCCCCTTCCCTGGAGCCCCCTAAATGAGCTCGTTCTTCCTGCTCCCTCCCACACCAGAAGACAGGGTCCTACGTTCTTCCTCCTCCCTGTCTGTCCACCCCACCAACAGCACCCAGGACATCAACCTCTATGAAGGCAGGTGAAACCACCTGCCCCTCCCCACTGCTACTAACACAATCAACAGAGTCGCTGGCCATAGCTGGACTCTTAACCAGTCGTAGGCTTCCTAATGGCCCAACCACCGCCCTGCCACCTTCCATTCTTGTTCACGCTCTAGACTTTCAAAAGCTCTTTCAGAAAATACCCTAACATTGTAGGCCTGGAGGTCAATAGAGCCATTCCCCCAGCAGGGCACCTTCCACCTTTCCATTCTCTTTTAAACTTTTCCCTTCCCTCTCCCACCAGTTATTTCTCTAGGAGGCATCTCTGTCCATCTGCACCTTCAGATCAAGCCGCTGTCTCGACACGACCATTCTCTGGAGTTGGACTGGAGGCATACTGCGCTTTCGAAGGAGTTCAGCTTCCACGTGACAGATTACCCCATCGGTCTCTTTTGTGGGAGACAATAATCACCCACTTTGTGGAAAGGGAGGTCACTAAATAACAGGAGAAATGCCTGACAAAGATGGCAGCATCTGCTGCAGAGAAAACATGAGCAAAATCTTAGAGGTCACCTTGAACAATATTCGTCTAAGGCTGCTACAGGGAGTCTGCCCTGAGAAAGGCAGGTGCCTGCTGGGTCTAGCAGAGAAGTGGGGGTAGGTGTTCTGGAAGTGCCCACCCAAATGTCCCCTCGATGCCCTATTGCTGGGAACACCCTATTGCTGGTAAGCGCAGCGTGCTGAGTCTTTCTCCCTTCTTCCTCATTTTTTGGCTGGAATCTGCGCCATCTGTGAAATTACACTGCAGAGGCCAGGTTCCCGATGATTTCAATAAGACCTCAGGGAGTCAAAGCTAAACATATGTCTCACAAAAACATAAAGTGATTCATACGCTTTCATCTATTAATTGGGAAAGCAGGCTTTTTTATCAATGTCTAAATTTTTACGAACAGTGAGAGAAAAGCTGTGTTCTTTCCATGATGCGTGGCCCAGTGACGACATCATCAGACATCTCCAGATGATGTGTGGAGTGACATACGAGCCTCAGAGAGTAAAGGGGGTGACGGATTTTATGTAAAAATATAGGTCAAATGTATGAATTCTGTAGACTTTGGTGACTGATTAGTGTTAACTCAGAGGCTTAAAACCAGACATTTGCTTTCTCAAAGGCTAGAAATCTGAAATCAGGGAGCCTTTAGGGCCATTTCTGGACAGTCCCTAGCTCCTGGTGGCCCTCTGTAAGACTTGATGTTCCATGTGTGGCTGTACCTTCTGTGGTGGCATCACCTTCCACTGTGTCCATTACATGTATGTATTGGGGGAAGGAGGCACACCGCAGTGCATAGGTCAGAGGAGAAGCTGTGAGGGTCTCTCCTTCCACCACGTGGTTTGTAGGCATCTAAGTCGGTCAAGTTTGTCAGCAGATGCTTTTAACCCCGAGTTATCCTGTCAGCCCTCTTTGCCTTGTAAAAACACCAGTCACTGAACTCAGGGCCCAGTCTAATTCTTTTTAACTGATCATATTAGCAAAGACCTGCTCATGAAAGTAGGTCACACGTTCTGAGCCACCAGGTGGACATGAAGTTGGACGTGGGTGACCCCTCAGTCCACTATAGTGACAGTGGAGGGAAAACCTGAGAAATTGCTATAGTCATCAAAGCTAAAAGAGACACAAAGGCTTTGTACTGCTATCAAATGCTTTTTCTCTCTGAAACCAATCTTAAAGGACCACTGGTGGCCCCCAGGAATGAGACTCAAAGGGCTCATGAGTGATGAGGGATGTCCATCAGGGCATGGGATGCAGGACTGGAGATGGACTCCATCATACTCTCAAGGGTTCAAGGCAGACCTCTATCTAGCAGAAGAATCAGGGTGAGAACTCAAGTCTTCCTAAGCCAAAGCAGACAAGCAGCCCTGCCCGCTGGCCATGAGACGGGCAGCTTTCTCTCCTTACACACAAGCCGGTGGCAGTGAGAGGACTCTAAAACTAGCTGAAGGTTCCCATCTAGACAAACAGGTGCGACCTCTCGGAAAACCATTTTCTAATCTTGATTTAAAAAGCACAAAGCAAACAAACCAACCGGCCTTTCAGGAACATTAGCCACACCCCTACCACCATGCAGGAAGAGTTCAGAATGGCTTCACCTAGCTGTAAATGACAGTGTGGACAACGTGGAGGCATGGTGACAAGGAGAAAGACAGTCCACGGTCCCATTGTGCACAAAGTCCTGCCCAGATAGGGAGCTTCTGAGACAAGGTGCCTGTGTCTGGGTCCACAGGGACAGGGGACAAGGCCGGGCTGAACGGCAGTGTTGATCGCTTCCTGAACAGTGAAGGCACCGTGAATTCCGTGCATTTTGCCAGGGAAGATGACTTCCTACTTTGCCTTGGTTGGCAAGATGTTCAATCTCAACAAATAAGCCATTTCTAAGAATTTGGAACACTGCTTTCCCTTGTCTCGATAGGGTTTGCCTATTTGCAATTTATTTTATGTCGTGTGGGAACCCTTATTAAAAGGAGGTAGAGAACTGGAGAGATGGCCCGAGGGTTTTGTAAAAAGCACACACTGTGCACGTATGGGGACCTGAATTCAAATTCCCGTAACCCATGTAAAAGCCAGATGTGCAGTGAGTGTCAGCATCCGTAATCACAGTGCTCCTACAGGAAGATGGGAGGCAGCGACAGGAGAGCCCATGGATGCCTAAGAGACAGCTACCCTAGAGGCCACAGCTACCCTAGCTGACACAGCCCAGCAGACAGACAACAGGGACCTTCTCAAACAAGGTGGAAGGTGAGGACCAACATCCAGGGTTGACCTCTGACTGAGAGAGAGAGAGAGAGAGAGAGAGAGAGAGAGAGAGAGAGAAAGTCAGTGTCTCTCTCTCACAGACAGACAGACAGATAGATATAAAAGGAAACAGAATATAAAGTAATAAGCATGCTATCAGCCACAGGAGAGAAACTGACGGCATCCCTGAGGCACCTGCTCCCTGGTGGAATGCAGACCTGACAACGGTCACCTCAACAAAACAGCCTCTAATTCGGGCAAAGGTGAGTCGTATTGTATCGGCTGCCATAACAAAATGCCACGGACTAACTGGGTGGATCACACGACTGACATTTCTCGCCCTTCTGGAAGCTGAAGTCCAGCGGGCGGATCCACTTGCTGATAAGAACACTCTCCCTGGCACCCAGACAGCTGCCGGCTGCCATCTTCCTGTCCTCGGATGGCCTTTACCTGTGTATACGCACAAGGCCATACAGGTGAGAGGGAACCCTCTCTCTTGCTCTTTTTATAAGGAAACCAGTCTTCATTGTCTCACCTCTTACAAAACCAGCCCAACCATTCTTGTAGCCTCATTTGACCTAACCTCTCAAAGCTCCACCACAAACGCACATCGGAGCTTAGGGACCCTCCATATAAATTTTGGAAGAACACGCACAAATGGCCACCAGTGTGGTACTTACTATGTGAACGGCTGTGCAGGGATTGGACTATCAAGTCACTCTTTAAACAACCACGGGAGAGAATCATTATCCCGTATCACAGACACAAATGCAAAACAACCATCTTGCTCAAGGACGCAATTACCAAAGGGCCGAGGATTCAGACTTCGATCTCGCACTCAAACTCCGCCTGCCGCAAACTCATCTGCGATGCTCTTTAGTCTGTTAGTGGCATGTGACAAAGCATGTCAAAGACTGATCAGCCAATGGTCAACGTCAGTGCTCCAGAGAATTTAAGACTGGAAACAGATTAGAGATGGGCTCTCCATGGGGCCCATAGGACAGACATGACCTGGACAGACAGATGGAGAGTGAGGTCAGGCCTAGGAAAGCCATGTAAACATGGTGAACTCTGCAGGGCAGAGCCAGGCCCCTCCTGCCTGCTTCAGTGGCTCCTATGGAGAAACAAGAATCAAGGCAGAACGCGGTATTGGGGGGGGGAGGGAGTGAAGGGGAAGGGAGGCAGGTGTAGAGGGGTCTTGCTGATGACACAGCCAACTCTGCCACACAGGTGTAGCTTGAGGCATCAGTGTGCGATCTCAGCAAATCCGCCATGGAAGCCTCGCACAAGAGACCCCAACGCGACCCGAGCTGAGGCACTCGTCCAAGCAAAGTTCTCCCAGTGATACAATTTTATAAAATAATATTTCTTTTCCCAATTTGTAAACCCTAAAAAAAAAATCTGTTCTGGTATTGCTTTTTCAAAAATGAGAGACAGAAGAACATTCTCGTAAATGAGGAAACTGTTACTGTAGAAAATGACGGAGCAGTGAGACCCACTAATATATTTTTCAATCGGGAGACTACGTTCAGGGATTTTCTCTAAGCTGCTTTTTTTTTTCTTTTTTCTTTTTGAGGAGGAAAAAAAAGAGAAAATCCCAAAACACCGAGCAGACAATTTGCTTTTTCTTCAAACTGACAAGTGGTATCATTTTGTATTAGGCGGTAGAGAATTCTTATTATTGAATGTACCTTTATTCTAGGGGGAAAGCCTAGCAAAATAAAACACCAGGTATTAAAGAAAATAAAAACGGTCCAAAGAAGCGCCAGAGTAATTGAATCAGTTCCTATGACCAAATCTCTAGAAACCGCCTGAGTCCTAGGCCTTCAGCGCTGCTTCGAGAGGTGACCTGAAGGCTGTGAGCCAGCCCAGCAGAGGAAGCGGGCCCTCTCACAGGCCAATCCAGAGCTCTGGAGTCCAGCGTCTCTCAGCAGTTCCTGAACTCACTACTTCAAATGCTTCCCAATGGCCGAGCTGAAGTAGCCACTGCTTCCCAAAAGTTCTCTCCCCAGCCCTTAGCGTGAACAACGGATCCATGCTGCCATATTCCAGGGGGTTGGTACGTAGGAAATTGTATTGACTTATGTTCAGTCTTTTGGGACACTTCTCCACAACTGAGAAAAAACAAAAATGAAAACAAAACAAACAAACAAAAACTCAAGAGAAAGGAGTCATGAATAAAAAAAAAGAAAAGAAATAACAAGAAGGACCTGACTGCCCCTAGGGATGGCGGAGGAGAATGAGGGAGAGAACTGAATGAGGGAGGTGACTGCGGCCAGGTCATGAGAGCAGAGAGAGGCAGGGAGAGGAAGAGAGGGGCTGCTGACCAAGAGGCAGATGTAGCCAAAATGACTAAATTATACAGGGACAAGGGAGCTGGGGAAGGGAGAGCCCAGCCCAGTCTCTGGGCTGGAGATTAGAGGAGAGGGTGGGGCATGCCAGCCAGGAGGACCTGTGACAGGTAAGGACTGAGGGGTGCTGGGAGAAGCTGGAGGCTAGGTCAGCTTTGATGTGTCAACAGGCATGCCAGTAGCCATTTGTCCTGGGTTTGGACCTAACAAGGTCACACTGAACTTACCCCAGCTTCCCAGTACCAGCTCTGCCTGGGCCTTGCCTCTTCAAGGCAGGAATGAGCCCCATCCTCCA